ATTTCTCCAAAATCATTGTTGAGGTAGGTTATTTGGCCAAATTTCCCTAAAAATAAATGAAAGTTAGAGAGTCCAGAGTTAAAATTTTCGAAATTTACTAGTATCGTTTGTAGAGACTTATTTCATTGATATAAAATAAAATTTAAATTAATAAAAATATTACTATTGTTGGGAGGAGTTCACTAAGATTAGTTTACAAATCAATAAAATATATGTGCACAAATCAGAAAAAATAGAATTGAAATAACAATCAATAATCTGAACAAAATTGAAGCTGAAATAAACTTCAAGAAACCGAAATCTCAACTCAAGAGATTACTGAACAATGAAGCACAATAAATTGTAAAACTCGAAACCAATATGAACTGGAACATAAATGAACAGAAGATAGTAAAAATGCACTTATCTCTTCATTAAAGCCCATAGGCCAAAATCTCAACAGGTTTGGGCTACAATCGTACAAGAATGAAACACCAGATGTTAGAATCAAACACAAGATAAAGATACAAAAGTATAGCACTCATACAAGNAATCGTACAAGAATGAACCACCAGATGTTCGAATCAAACCCAAGATAAAGATACAAAAGTATAGCACTCAGACAAGGCCGATTATTACACAAAATAGGAACTCTCTCCACTGATAACACACGGTTCACACAAGAACCAACCCTCATACAATGTAATCGCACAAGATTTACAAACTATTGAGAGAAAACAAGAAATCAAATGAGCATATTTGATTTCTACAGAGAAGAGAAGAGAACTCTCGAAGAACAGCACAGAAAACGAGAATGGAAGAGTCGAGAAGCCAAGTGAAGTCACAATCCCTAGAAACTCGCTTTTATATGAGTTACCTAAATGTCTCCGATCCAACAGTGTAGGAGGTGACACTTGGCGACATCACGAGCGTTCAAAATCAGGTAAGTATAATCACAGTTGTAAGCTTCTTCACATAACACGCTTTTGCACCAAAAGACAAACCAACAGAACTTTGGGCTGGACTTCAATTCCAGCTGGGCCAACTCATTTTGGCCCATTAGCCATTGCATCATTGTGCCACATTTTCCTTTCATGCTCCACCTTGGTACAATGATTCAAACATCAGTGGTTACTCAAAAATACAGATATCATCAGCACAGAACTGCATCATCCACAAATCAGCAGAAATGTGCAACATTCAGCAAGGTCAAGCAGTCTAGAAATTTGTTTAACAGTAGAACTTTTGTACCTACATTAGCGGGGTTATAATTAGTAAATACCTTTTCAAGTTTCACAACACCTTGTGAAATAACATCCCTAATAAAATAAAATCTAACATCAACATGTTTAGATCTATTGTGTAAAACAGGATTTCTACTTAAATGAATTGCAGATTGGCTATCAGAATAAA